AATCCTGTTATATATAAATTTAAATGTTAATAAAATGCTGAATATATAGGCAGGACAGATCAACTTCAATAGAAGAGAATTAATCAACATGGCCAGTCATTTTTTATTAAAGGTCAACTAAATGATTTGCATAGGTGAGCCAACACTTATGGGTCGGTTATCGCATAAAAATCAAGTTTGTATTGCATCCTTCAGCATGGACAGATTTTTGGTCCTGTGCAGATCACATTTTAGTTACCAGCTGAAAGTCCTTGAAATAATCTTTATTAAAACAAAAAAAGAAAAGAAAGAAAAGAAAAACATCTATGTGTAAACAGAAGGAGTGCTTGTGTGAATTTAATGTGATCTACTTTTGAAGAAGTATAGTTGTCTCAATATATTATTACGACATGTGTATTTTCTTTCTATTTCTGTTATTGTCTTTTGTTAAATCAGTGTACACAGGAACTTTGATTTACTTCAATTGAGGTCTGATGAAAAAATAAAATCTTAAAAAGTTTTGCTCTTAGAAATGTAAGTTGAAATGTAATGAAATAAAAACTAATTTGCTATATGCAAATCCCTTCAACTTTTAAAAAATGAAACCAATGAGAGCTCAAATTAATTCAAAAATATCTATCGATCATACATTTTTTTCTATTACAACATTCAATTTACAATATAAATATTCAATTTGTGCTTCACCACATGATCACAAATGATATATTTAAATGATAACATTGAATAATATATAAATAAAATTTGTTTTAGGTTATGATGATATTCTTTTCTGATTATCTCCCACCACAAAAATTGTTTAACAGGATCATAGTATAAAAGAGTAAATTTTTGTCATGAACTTCTGAATGTTTATTAAAACATGTTGGGAATGAGTTTACATATCTTTAATTCACTAATATAGGCTCAAAATATGTAATGTCATATCTTTTGGTTGTGAGAGAGAAAAAGCTATGAAAAGTAACAATGATATAATGAGGCAAGTACAACAAAACAGCTGAAAAGATTTGTTTGCAGAGTAATTACTAAGTTAAGGAGAAATGAAAATCTCCTAAAAGCTTAATTCCTCTAATGGCCATTGCACAGTTGAACAAGGCAATGATGCACCCTATAATGGACAACAGAGAGTTGAATTGATATGCTGACATGTTTAGGGCCAAAGCAGATGATTGCATAATCAAATTATAGGAATGACAACAGAAAGATCATTCATCAACCTCAAGAAAATATACATACAAGTGCATGTTCAGGAGTTATTGTAAGCATTACAGACAGTTTATTTTTAAAGGGAAGAAGTCACTGCCTTACAAGATTAGAATTTGATCTCAATGTAGCATTGTAGACCATGTCTGCACTGAGTATTGTGTTTTTCCAAGTCTATTCAAACAGTAAAAGCTATGTCTATCAACAAAATATCCTAGATGTTAAAAGTAACAAGAAACATTTTGGCCCAATTAGTAAAAACCCAGAGCAAGTGAAACATGTTAACTGAGTGTTTTAGATTAAAAAGTCTAAGAAAATGAATTATTTTTAAAATGTGGAAGCAAAGTTAGGGAAATTACAAGACAACAAGGATCATAAAACAGAGTTACTACAATTACAAAATACTGGGATAAGGAAGTAAGTGATAATCCTCTTAAAAATAATGGTATTGAAAACTATCATCAGTGTACAACAAAATGACCCAATTGAGAAGAATGGTATGTAAATAAAAAAGAAATGAAAAAGTAGGTTGATACAAGATCCTTGTAAATTGGAAGGAATTACCAGACTCTTCAATGGCAAGCAGAGGTATTGCACCTAGAGACTGATTACCTTACAGTATATCCAATACCCTAACTAGTATGGTATTAAAACGAAAGTTACTGAAATAAGGCAATTTACTCTTAGAGAACTGATAAAGGAGTATAATCTTTTTATTGACATATTGCTGAAGTCTAAACAGAACTCAGCAAATAAACTAATTTGGTTGCCACATGATTCAGCATGAAAAATAAAGAAACTGAGACAACAACATCCATGTCCACTGCTATTGCAGAGTTGTGCACCACTCAAATATTGGACAGTCATCAGCATAGATAACATCCTGGTAATTTTTAAGTAAGTTTGTCCTGTTATTCAGTGTAGTTAAAAATGCATAGTATGTCAATCAACAGATCCAACACCAGTGCATTTGGAGAAAGGGAAATTAGAAGCAACACTTGGTACGGGCTACAAATGGTAGGCATTACTTGACAAACACTGACTACAGTTCTGCAGGTTTATCAATTTGTTAATCGTTATTTCAGTAGGACTCTGCAAATGTCATACACCAACTCAAGGCTATAGTTTTTAAAGAGACCTGCCAGTACTTCTCTTGATAATGACATTATACAACAAAATTTTGAAATATTTTGTAGCTTAGTGGTACATTTTAAAACGTTTAAATATGTTCCATCCAGAAATGGAATAGTGGAAACTTATCATAGGAGTATGAAAGAATTGCTGCAAAGAAGTGTTGTTTTATGCCAGAGACAGTATAATTGTATGACATAACACCAAAAGATAATGCCTCACTCTCAGATGCACCTGCCAATGATATTAACAACTATAAGGTTCAGTTGAAAGAGACTGATGCAGAGACAAGGTGTGGTATGATGTGTACAAGGTGGGAGATACAAACTAGGTGAATTCACTTCAAAACCAAGGGTGAATTGGAGAGAGTCGCTGGGATCACTAGCCTGTAATCTGTTAAAGTTGGATTCCCATGCCATACTAATTGAGAGTAAAATGAGCCAAAATTCAATACAACAATATGCTATTTTTTAAACATGTACATACAGCCCATAAAAAATATATTTCACAGACAGTAACACCTTATACTTTATTTGCCTGTATGATAATACACAATCTTTACTGGAAATGACCAATCATATATAAATTCATATTCTAACACTCCCACTTAATTTTATAGTGAGTTCATTTCAACAATCCCAATAATTCATAAAATAAAATTCAAGTCTAAACTTGGATCCCCATAAGATTTGACTTATTTCATCTGCTTCACTTCAGTCATGGGTTTACTATATATATCAGGACTGGTTCATTCTAATTATATTACTTTTATATATTAACTATAAACAAAGTTACCAAGCAATTTTCAAGACAACCTGTCACTGGTTAAATAGCACCGGGTAATTTCTGAAACTTCATATATTCTAAGAACTTCACTTCCCATAATTCACACTTGTTTTCATTACAATCAAACAAAGATAAGACCTGGGCCATATCCTAGTAAACTAGGTGATATTTCAGTGAAATAAATGAAATATTAGTAGTGTTAACACTGGTATGAATATTGTGAAAAATGATCTGTGCACATTTCACAGAAAGGTGTGTGTGTGTGTGTTTGTGTGTGTGTGTGTATTAGTACATATATACACAAATGAACAATTACATGTAAATTTAATATTGTCATTTTCAAGATGAATAAATACACCAATATGCTAGATTCATACAGAAACTGTTATACTCTACACAGTTTTAAAAAGTACTATATTGTTAACATGTTTATAATGAAAATAATGAGAACCTATGGCTCAGCAGTAATTCAATAATTATATGTAGCAGTAAGACAATCAGGCAAGGAGTTAAAGTCTTTAGACTATAATAAAACAAAATTAACTGCTTAATTGTGAGTTTCTCAAACAAATTTATTCAAAGAACAATTAAAAACAGTATTTTATAATAGTAATTTGTCAGAGTTTGATAAGTAAGAAAGCCATTAAGAACAGGAGATATTTTTCTGCAAAATTATAAGAAACAAATTATAGAATTCAACCTTTTACCAGCTAAAATATCAATAAGTTGGACTCTTGACTATGACAAATACTAATAGTAGAACAATGTGTTAAACAGTCTGATGCAATTACTAGCATTTATAATTTTTTTTTTTTACTTTGATAATATTCAACTAGCCAATCAAAAAAAGAATATCTCCCAGAGAAATTCAAATAAAAATTTTAAAAAATTGCAGTAAAATTAAACATTATACAAATGAGATAATTTTCATGTTGTACCATATTGAAAATTTACATTCTACTTTAACAAGTACAAAGAACAATAAAAAAATATTAAGGTCAAGACAATTTTAGACCAAAATTTAAACTAGTTATTTATAAAAAGAACATTTAATGTTTTGTTCTTCCACATATACATTTCTATTAAACATTTACATGATAATTGATAATGAGAGTAAAAGTAATTTTTCAATAGGAATTTAGTATCCAAAATGATTTTTGCATGCCAAATACAGAATTAATTTCCTCAGATTTCTTTATCTAGCATCATATTCTGAACACACATTTTTTCATAACTAATAAAATATTGGTCACAGAAATTGAATTATGAGAATTGCAATTTGTAAAATGAAAATAAAGTAAAAGGGCCAAAGCTACCTACTTTGAAAATAAGTAATCTTGTATCAGGAAAAAAAAAATGAGCAAAATACAATTGATTTAATCTATAACTACTTAATACCCATGAATAAAATTTATGATTATTTATTCTACATTGGTTTCCCAAAGTCTGGATATGCCTCTTTCCCAAATTCTGAAACGTGTGCTCAGAATATTAGGCTAAGTAATCTAAGAAAGGTAATTCAGTATTTGATATGCAAAAATCATTCCAAACTAAAAAATGCTATATTACTCTTCACTTATATATACAAAAATAGAAGACCTGTCAAATTGTATTTCTCACATTCTTTCTTAATAACACTGGAATCATATCATTATAGAAAAAGGATTGCTCAAATCATTAGAAGTAAATTAACTAATATAAAGCAAAATCTACTTAAATAAGTTATGAATTCTACTACTAAATTCTATATCTACACTTAAATTTTCTATATACAAATAAACTTAATGAAAACTATCCAAATGTTTGCCTTGTGCCTTATTCAAATAAATAACTTTAATGAAGCAAAATTTGTACTATGGTATAACATTGTAAACAAAACTTACCAAGGTCCACTGTGGATTAATGTGCTTAGCTTTCCTGGCATCATCAAGACTTTCAGCATATTTATGCAGCTGGGCATAGGAGGCTGACCGATTGGTAAAAAGTATGTGATTGTGTGGGCTGAGGGCAATAGCTTCTGTGTACAATTGAACAGCTTGGTTATAGTCTCCTTTTGTAAATGCATCATTGCTTTCTTGTGCCAATTGACTGAGTGCACTTTTATTATTAGCAGATATATTATGGATATCATAATTGTCCACCTGAAAAAAAAAGCAAATTATATGTTAAAGACTAATGAAAGAAAAAGTACATATTTAAACAGCATCTAAAATATTTATTTTAAATTCAAATGTTATAAATTTATTTTTATATATAGTCTAAATTTATTTTTATATATAGAGTCTAAAGTTTAATTTTAGTTTTGTTTTTTCAGCACAAAACTATTTCCTATTATCACATATTTTCATATAACTCAAAAAAAAAAAAAAAAATACATTTTGCATACAACTTAAAATAAAAACAAAGATTAACTGAAAATCAGATTTAATTTTTTATTTTTAGTAAAATTTAACTTTAATCTTCGTATATGAAAGTAACAAGAAAGAAAAATATATGATGAGCATTTAAAAGAATATTATCAATGATACTATCCATGGTGACAAACTGATAATGAAAATAATTATCATTCAGACTTATATTTAGTATTGTATTAATTTTTAGTTGCTTTTTATTACTGTATGTATCAGTAAATTGTGATAAAAAAACAACTAAAAAATTAAAATTAAAGTAAATATTAGTTAAAAATGATAATGGCTGGCAATGCTTCATCCAATAAAAAATAATACTGTAGATAATTAAAAGTATTAAGTTTTAGTTTGTTATTTATATATAATCTGAAGAAAACTAAAGAATACCAAGCAATATTTTGTGGAAATTTAAAAATGCACCAACAGTAATAAACCTAAAATTTTCAAGTAAATGAAATATTATTTAAAATACTATACTTTATGATAATTTACAGCAGACTTGAAATATTTTGTAAAAATATCTTACACAAAAACAAATTTGTTTATATCTTTCTTCAAAATAGAAGAAAGTATTCCCAGACATTTATGTTAGCAAGAATACCTGACTGTTAGAAAACACTTATAGTAAGATAACTTTGTCTCACAAGATTTTTACAAGACAATCTAGCCAACTGATACTTCAAGTAAAAAATGTCACTAAAGTTCTCAAATTCCAACATGTGACAGCTACAACTAGAATGAATATGTGGAGACAGAAAAGCAAACAAAATTGAACAATAACGGCACTGAACTTTTCTAAAGAAGCCTTTGTCTATTTCTTGTGGGTGGAAAATGATTTGTAGCTATTGTTATTTATTTATTCTGTAAAGCTTCAGATCTGTCATTTTTAAAAAAAACATTTTAGATATAAATGGAAAAAGGAAATTTATCAAAATAAATGGGAAACATACATTTTAGAAAAGTAGTCATAGGTAAATAGTTTATCAAATTTCAAAGATTATTTTTATTAAAGTAATAAATCTTCATAATGAAAAAAAATATTAATGATGTCTAAGTTTTTTTTATTCATAACTTTTTTTTAAAAAAAAAGTTTACTTAAAAGAAATACTAGTAAAAAGTGAATAATTTATGTCTTATTTTTTATTCAAATTCTCAAACCATCATTCTACAGCTAACACACAGACTGTATCAGAAATAAATAAGTCACAGCAAAATTTGAACTCATATTCCTTTCCCCTTATAAAATAATTGTTTAATTAGTATTTGTACATTTATAAAACCTTTAGTAAGTGTGTCTTTTCTAAAGTTGCAGTAATTTTTTTTTCAAAATACCACTAATAACTGTTCCAGCCTTTTTCTTAAACTTTCATTTTAGGCCAATTAAAACAGAATAAAATAAAACTAAAATTTACAAAAATAGTCCTCTTCTAAAAGATGCAAAATGACACAAAACCACTTTCAAATCTTAAATTATGTTTAGTTTCTTCATCTGCAATAAAATCAAATAATTCATGGTGAGATTGAAACAAATCCTGCAAGCTACAAATAGCTTTTGAAAATAGGTACATAGAGTTCACAAGGGACAAGGTCTGAAATTCTATTCAAAATGCCATATTGCTGATCATCAATAACACAAGTTTTATCAATAAAGAGCATTTTGATTTTAAATTAAAACAATGACTCCCTTTAAGGGGTCAGCTTCTCAAGTTACAAATTTTTAGAGCTATGAACAAACATGTCTGTAATTCAAATTTTACACATTCTACTAGTTCTATGTGCTATGTACTTTCAGGACGTGGGTGATCATGACTACAACTTCCTATCCTTCATCATTCTTAGCAGTTTTTTTATCCCTCCCTTTCCTGGTTCTGCTATCCATTTACAGAATTTTCCTTCTCTTCCACTCACCTACGTGTTCTGTGAGTGTTAAGTGTTCCAAACCTTCTTTCTTTATGTGTCCCACAAATTTTAACTGTCTCCTTCTGATTTTAATAATTGTTCTTTTTGTTTCTATTTTTCTTAAAACTTATTCACTGCTTATATGCTCTGCCAAGATATTCTCAACATATATCTCTGTTGCCTCAAGACATCTCTTCATCTACCAGTTCAACCAATAAAGAATACATGGTATTACTTTTGCTACTTAGCACCATCCTGTGAACACAACAGAGTTGTTGCTGTTGCTATCATTGTCATCTCCGTAATATCACAGTATTATTTGTGGTTATCAGTTTTCATAAAGACATGCTTGACAGATATCTAAACTCAGTTCAGGTTCTTTAAAAATGTTCACTATTGCTGGTTAAAAAAAAATTTTAAAAATTAAAAAATTCTACTCTTTTGCAGTATAATTAAAAATTAGTCTTTAATCTCTCTTGGTAAATAGTAACAATGTAAATTGTTCAGAAACAAATGTCAACCAGCTTTATTGGTGAGAGAAGACATCAGTGAAGAAATGTACAAATATTTATAAGTTTTTGATATCAATAAAAAGATTTTGTGCAAATATGTTAATTTTTTTATGCAACATCAGTACCAGTAATAAAGTGCTGAAATATTATAAATATCTTTATTATTATACACTTATGAATTATTTTAGACTTTCAAACCCAATAACCTAAACTGTTCATAAGTATTAACATACCATCACAGCAAAAAGAGGCCACCATTACATTCTCATAGGGCTATTTCAATTTTTTCATTTGGAATTTAGGAAAAAATAAATTTATAATGAATGAAATTTCAATAGTATTATCTATAGAAAAAAAAAAACACAAATGAACAGGTAGTTTACTTAAGCTTTCTGTTGCATTCAATACTTAAAAATAAATGCAAAAGTAGTCTCTTGTTTCCTCATTGATAATAATTATGTGGTTACCTGGAGAAAAAAAAAAGTAATACCTAAGTTTTAAATGCATTTTAAAAAATGAAAAATCTTTGTTGAAGCTTTAACATAAAAAAAATTATAATTTTTACAAAGATTTTCTAAAAAAGAAACATTTCAAAAAATAATTTCATTCATTTGTGAATATGTCCTGAAAGTTTCATTAAAATCAGATTTTCCATTTTGCAAGAATTTTCAAATCAAAGTGTTTTCCACCAGGGGTGAGGGGTACATTCAAGTTTCCCCATATAAATTTAAGGTCCCACAATGACAGCAAAAAAAAAAAAAAAAAAAAAAAATTAAACAACAGTTTCCAAAAATAATAATTTACATTTAAAAAAAATTGGTGATTTTTACATTTTAAAAAATTCGTAATTCATTGAACCACTAAATTTTCACTTGCAAACATCAGATCAATAAAATTCATCATTTATGACTTATTGCCAACATTTATTCACTATCTGCCCATAGCTAGGACCATAACAGGTGCTACCACTCCGGGTCAGGATGGACTTGGGAATGACAGCAATTAAGAAGTGGTTCCACACTCCTAAAGACCTAATTAGAGGCCTTGCTGTCGGATGTAGTTTATATATTGTAATACCCAAGACACTAGACTCTTAAGTAATTTTTGTCTATCAGCAGGGAAACATTATCCAAAATTAAATAAATTAAATAGCTGTATGTGTATGAAATTACTCACTACAAAGGCTAATGAAACATTTTTTTTTATACTGAATGTCACATACACTAACCATAAAATGTTTTCCTTAAAAGTTAAAATCTATAAAATAAAGAAATAACCAATCCTCAGAAAATGTTTTTACACTTATTTTTTATGTGGCATCAATTTTATTTTTATCCCTTTTTTTTTTTCATTTTCAAATTAAACATTTACAGGTTTTCCTTGACAATTGCAAAAAAAAAAAAAAAAAAAGAGCTCACAGTTGGGCTATTCATGAATTGAAGTTGAGAGAAAACAATAAGCATTGTATTTGAAATTTATAGCTCAATAATTGGGAAATTAGTTAAAATTTTCCACAAAAATTACCGATCTAAGATTTGTTGGCATAAAAAAAAGAAACGTAACGAATAACGACCAGGATTTTTTTATTGTTGTTTTGTACTAGGATTATTTATTACTAATATTCATATTAGCCATTAACAGATGAGAATTAACTAATAAAAAAATATCAATTTATCTTTTAAATTGAGTGATTGTATTTTTCTTTTGCAGAAAAATAATCTTGCTAGCTTTACTTTTTTGAAATAATGAGTTCTGCTAACATTTATTTAAATTTTTAACTAAATACAGTAACCAAGTTACTAATTTAATGTATTTTTTCCCAAAATTAAGATTAATAAAAATTATATATATATATATATATATATATATATATATATATATATATAGAGAGAGAGAGAGAGAGAGAGCACGTGTGCGCACACTCTCAACAGGTAAATTTCCCAATATCACCTTCACTCATCAGGAGAAAATGATGCAAAGTAATTGTGCTCTACTTGTCTCAACCAGAAATTTTACCATGAAACTGAGGGAAATCACTATCAAACCTGCTATCATTGTCATGTTTTTCCATTTCCCACCACGGTTAGGACTAGGGTGTTTGTTCTCCCAGCACTTTTCTTTCATTAACAAGTCCATTTATCTTCACAAAACCAACCATCCATTTTATAATGAAATCCCTGTCAGATATTTTCCTATGTATTATGAACACCTTAACATTATTTTTCTTTCAGGCCTCAAATTACAAGAGGTATCTTTCATTAATGAAAATAACAACAGATGATGGGTTCAAAGTAGAAAGCCCACACAAAGTTGTTTTCTGTT